AAGATAATTGTCGAGGAGCATCCTCGAACACGCCTGGTACGTCACCGAGTCAATGAAAAAGTGAAGAACAAGCTGTCGGAAGGACAAAACAGGGACTGCGAAGAACGATGCGAACTATCAGTTGCTGCAATGTGTCCAATTTGTATCTCTCAAAGCTTTTGATAAGACGAAGACGTTCCAAGAATTAGTAAGCCATGGAGGCTCAATCACAAGATGAGCTCTCGTCATAATGGACAGCGACAACAGACTTTTTCGGCTCTGCTTCCGAACTTCGTTGCTTAGTTTCTCACTTTATCCTTGTCGTCATTCAGTCTCACTGTTTGAGCTGGGGTTAACATCTATAGAACCAGTGGTAACTTTAGTCCTGCTTGTGTGGAGCAGCACAATCAACCTCACTTTGGGCGGACGTCTTTTGCCCAGTGTACTTCCACACTGTTACGCGTTTTTGAAGAGTCGCACTCAATCTGCTGATTCTCTTCAGTATTCAAAGACCAAGTTCGTATCAAGATATCAAAGGGTAAAGTCGCTGTTCAATCTTGAACATGATCATTTTGACACGTCTCCCTCGTCGCCCACTGGCTGAGAGTCTACCTCGGCTACCAGAAACGACAACCAAAAGGAGCCCAACAGCCAGACAACTCAATGCTTGCCACACAAGCCCTCGTCCAGCCCAGAGATACGTTGGGTTCGCGCACCTGCTCCTGTGCCTCCTGCAGCTGTTTCCTCAGCCCCTCCAGCTGCGCCTCTGCCTCCTCGCGCTTGCGCCGCTCCTCCTCCAGCAGCTCTTCCACGCTCTTGGGGGCACCCGCCACCTCATCGCCCATTCCTGTGTCGCTTCCGCTCTCTGCCATGCTGCTTGAGGTCTGCTCTGCCCCCTCCTCCGCTTGTGGTGTTCCTTCCTCCGCTTCCCCCGCCGCTGGCTGCTGGCCTGCTTGGAGGCGCTGCTCCAGGAAGGGCAGGCTGCCCTCCTCGGGGAGGTGGCTCAGGGCCGCCTCCAGTGGGATGGACCCCGCATCCGCCGCCTCAGCCACCAGGTCCGGCGGCAGCGCCTCCTCATCCACGCCCTTCTGCTCTCCATCAGAAGATGTGGTTTCGTTGACAGCATTCCTGGATCCATCTGTAGCCCACATGACTCCACCCAAGTTTTCCTTGTCGATGGGAACGTCTCCCGGTTCTGCAGCCAGCTCCCCCTCTTTGGCCCCCTTCTCGCCCACAATCTCCTCCTCCATGGGTAACCCCGCGTTGGCTGCGTCAGCGGGCATGCCTTTCTCTTCACCACCCAGCTCAGGCGCTGCTGTGTCCACTGCATCCGTCCCAGGCGTTGTGGCAATGTCAGGTGAGAGAAGGTCAGCCTGTCCTGAGGTGGCTTCCGCAGCGTCAGGGAGAGCAATCTGATCAGCCCCGACATTCTCTTCACTTGCTTCCACAAGTGCGGGCCCAGGGACCGAAGCTTCACCACTCTCCAGATCCTGCTCTGCAGAGGGCCCCTCCATCTTGTCAGCTCGTTAGATTGCTTCGTGCGGCCTCTGGTGATGTTCCTTGTTGCAGCCGAAGTTGCTTTGGAGAAGTCCAGCTTCTTGGCCAGGCTGCAGTTCTGAGCCTAGGTGCTGCTGACGGGCTCACATTCCTACCTCCTGACGTTGAAAAGAGTATTACAGGTGCTGTGATGCTGATGCAGCTGTAGGTAGGTATACGGTTTAGCTAGAGAGTGGAAGTGGAAATGAAGCTTTGTACTTGAGCCTCAGAGTCATGGGCTAGCTACTTCACTTTTCGCAAGTCTACAATGCAAAAGAACCAGCATGTATCCTATTAGGTAGTTTAGGACTATAGCATCATGTGCGACGTCCTAATCGTACGAAGATGTGGAGCGCGCGCGGAGTTGTGAGGAGCCCCTACAAATCGTCCGATGATAATAACTAACGGCGGAGATGGTCTGATGCGATCCAGTATAAGCAAGGCCTGGCAGCAAGAGTACTCGGTGCACGCATAGACTCCTGGTATTCGACTTCTGTCCGAGTATTGGCGCTTCCTGATTGTCTGCCATGACACCTCAATTGAGCGCAGTTGTTTGAAGCGCATGGAGATTCCAATGCTGTGCCTGTTGACTGGAAGGAGACAGCACGCCATGGCCTCTGCGTAAGGAACGTGCGTGGAGCCTGAGCAGCTCCTTCAAGCTTTTCAAGAATCTGCTTGGCAGCCTAGCACAATGGAAGGCAAGAGAGAAGCTGAGCAAGTGAGCGTCTTTGTATCGAAATACAAGGAAAAAGCCGCTCTCAACCAGTACTGGTACTCGCCAAAGACAATTGAGGTCATTGTGAAGGTGAGGTCAGTAGCGTCCAAGAACCAGTGCAGTCTTTCGAGAAATCACAGATTGAGCTCCGTAACAGCTTGCTTGGAGCTTTGGCAGCGGTACTAGAAAGTGGTATCCCCTTCAATTGCAAAAGTTCGTGTAGGATCTTTCAAGGTGCTCTCTCGGTCCTCGAGCTGTCAGTGCGCTGCCTGCAACTGATACAACAGGTCTCACTATAGTCCAAACATGATGCGTATGCACTTTTCTCAAACTGAGAGAGTCGATGGATCCGCAGACGCTGCACCATGCAACCAACCGGTGTTGTGCTTGTTCCTTCGTGGGCGATGAGTGCCTTTTCAATGACCTGTATTTTCTCCTGACCATTTTGCAGGAGGTAGAGCTGGTGGCCAAGAAGGTGGCTTTCCTATCCACTCCAAGCATCTATTTCTCGCTAAGCGATGCTGCCATCAAGAAGGAGAGCTATGTCTTTGATGTAAGGGATCCTGTCTGGCTAGAATTCAGGGAGTGGTGTGACTTTGCCATGAGGTGCCATGTACCAGGAAGTATGCTTTCCTTGAAACTGTATTCAACCTCCAACAGAGCACGTTCGTTGTATTGCTTTCAGGTATAGCTACTGGTGAAGCTATGAGACAAATGACTAGGATGTGAGATCGGACGATGGTGCCCGTTCCTGCTCCAGAAGGATACAAAAGGGGTATCGTGCAAACGGCCGTACAATCAAACCAATACTGAATTCAAGTTTCGGGTAAAAAGCAGACTTGCAAATTCAGTTGGAGGCATCCTTCAAAAGCTGGTACAAATTTGTCCTCGAGATCAGTTTTCTCCGGCTTCAGCCTGACATCGTGGTCATCTGCTCGCTGCAGCTGGATACCCAGTTTGCATGTGGGAGTAATTTCGTGCAGTACGACTTCAACAAACCCACGGATATTCCCACGTCCCTGTGGCACAGCTTCGATTGCGTTGTCATTGATCCTCCGTTCATCACAGCCGACGTCTGGAAGAAGTATGGGGCAACGGTAACAGCACTGCTCAGACCTCAAGGTATGATCACCCCACTGATTATATTTGTCCTGACTGTTCGTCAAAACTTGCTACTTCACTGAGGGTTCTTTTTCTTCAAAGGGTTCTTCTGCTGCAAGAAACACTGGATGCAAGCCAGGATCACGACTGCCGTGTGCATCTACCTACGCTTTCCTGACCTTGAAGAACTGTGTTCGAGCCCCGTACAACAAGCAAATCTGTTCAGGCACGTGAATGTCGAATTTTGCAGGCAAGATCATTCTGACAAGCACGCACGAGAATGCCGAGCTTCTGCACTCGCTTTTCGCAGTGACGCCCCAGTTGTTCTCCCCCTCCGTCCCCCACTTGGTTTACCAATACCGTCTGTATTGCAACTATCCCTCTACGTTCTTTTCTGAGCCTAATCCTGAGATTGGGGACTAGCTCATGAATAACCCGTATGTAGAAGTGGAATCTGTCAGCGGATTGTTTCCACATTCATGATCCTGCTTCAGCGTGCAGTGCAGTAGAATCACATGAGAGGGTAGAAAATGTTTATAGCTGGAAGGTCTAGCTTACGAGCTGAAGGCAGAGCAGTGACATGCCGAAAAATCCAGAATCAACCTAGAGTTAAGCTGATTGATCTGCTCCACGATCTTGCAATGTGCTGATCGACCTTGAGTTTTGCTAGGAATCTAGACGGTCACACTTCAAGGATCACAAAGATACATGTGCAGTCTACTCTGCATTTAATCATCCAATTTCGACCAGATCCAACATGCTGTGCAATTCGCTGCCAGGAGCGATCACGTGAGGAATGCTACGCATAGGTCGCACAATTATACTAGCTAATCATGAACCCTATCGCGATGGTCTCTTTTCACACGCCGTAGCCAGTGCGGCCATAGGCTTCTCATGGCATACAATCGATACAATCGATCCGACATTGTTATTTCAAGTTTAGATATTGAGATCGATGGCCGGACTGAGATTGGGTCTCATACACAAAGTTGCACGATCAGACAAATGCAGCGTGCTGCGGCAGGCTCGGCTGCGCACGCATGCCTGTCACTTGCATGCATATGTGTATACCTAAATTTGTGCACTGTACATAGCCGGCTGTGGCTACAAGTCATTACTGCGCGTCCGGACGGTACCTGGATGAAGGTGCTTAGTTGAGGTCCGACGAGCAAGCGCGCCGTTGCATGAGCCAACATGTACATGATCAATGTAAGTGCCATGAAGCTACTTAAGAAGATGGCGGCATATGGGTCGATCGTGTTCCTGAGAGCTTGGGAGCGGTGCTCAGAGTCTAGTTTACGACGTGCATCTATCCGGGAGCACCCAATTGGCGAGATTGATTGGACACAACGTCTACCTTCACGTGTTTGAGAACAAGAACCCGTACAGTTACCGTAGCAAGACTTGTGACCACCTTGTCAGACTGCCCAAATAATGCATGAAGCTTTAGCCGTATAGAAGCCTCGTGGTTGTTCAAGGCCAATACTTTCGATTGAGGATACTTCTGCGGACTGGGCTAATTCTTCCGGATCTCTGAGGCATGATCTCAAGAACCAGTCAACACGTTCACGGTGCCTCAACCGATTCATTCTTAACAACTGCTTTTCCAGTTAATCGAGCTTAATTACCTGCAAAATCTCGGAAACTCTCCGCAGCGCAGAGGCTGGGTCACCTCCAAAGTTCGACCTCATTGTCATCGTGGCCTCATGAGCCGATTAATGCATGAGCTATTCGTATTTGTCAAAGCCTTTCACCAAATGCACCTAACCAAGAATTTTGGTGCATGCTTGCCCCACTCTCCTCACCCCTGCCGGGCGTCATTGTTGTTTCCAGCCTCGGCCTGGCCACACTTTGCGGACTGGGCCCGAGCATGAGGAGCTGCTTGCCGTGCACGCGCCACACCGAGTCGGCGAGCGCCCTGCTGGAGCGTACTACTCTCCTCTGTAGGAACTCTCCCAAGCTCTCCTCCCGCGCCGGTTCCACCTGGACGATCTGGAGCCCCCGTGCTGTGAACGTCCCGGAGAAGGCCACCGGAAGCTCGCCTTCTGTGCCCAAGCACGAGGCGTCTTCTCTTGGACCACTAGGATCCGCCCCAGCAAAACACAATTTGGAGCCCGCCCTGCTATTACCCTCTGCTTCGAAGTCGTGCCCAATCGAATCCCTTTGTTCACGAGCATTCCATCCGGGATAGCAGCCCTGGACGGTTGTCGACACGAGGGGACTGCCAGAGAGGCCCAGGGCGTGCAGGCGGTGGCGCAGCCGGGCCTCCTTGCTGGCGAGCTCGGAGACGCGCTCCGAAGCACAACGGGCGGCCGTGAGCCACCACTGGTCGCCCTGCCAGCCAGGATGAGCAGCGTTCTGAAGCAGGACGAGGTTGACTTTAATGACTGCTCGGGGAGTTGCTCTAGGAGAATCATAAGAAGTACAGTGAACACATCTGGACAGCAATCAGTCTCGACTACTTTCAATACTACTCGGAAAGATCATGTACAAAGCCTACATTCGTCTTCCCAGCTTACGATGATGCAGCAGAGAGAACGACGGTTGGATGTTGTACCAGCAACGAGAAGATGCTGTTGCTCTTGCCCCGCCAACGTCCTTCTTGCAACAGGGTTCCTTCCAATCTGTGCAACGACCCATACCCAATACTTACAGATGGCTGAACAGCGTTGGAAACTGGCAAAAACAGTATTGACGACGTAACGCTCTTCTGCGCCAGGGGGAGATTGGTGGACGCGCCTCACCTGGTGGGCCCAGAGGTCCGAGACGGAAGCCAAGGATGGATCACATGCGTCCAAAGGGTCAAGGACATCAGTCCGTGAGTCTCTTGAGCTCACTCGGCGCTTCTTCTTTAGGGCAAGCTGCAACCCAAAACCCGAAATTGTCAGCAACGGTGCCAAACAACTCGATTATTTTTCCGAATCAGAGGATGTACGTGTCGCAGTTGGCAAAAGCACAAGCTGACAATATGGATTGGCCCTTGCATAAAGGGCCAGCGGCAAGGAGTGACATCAGAAAGAAGGTTGCTAACTAATATCCAATGTTGTGCAGACGAATACAACCTCAGGTTAAAAGCCCAGTGATGCTCTTTCAGACCTCAAAACGGTGACAGATCCAATAGCAAGCGGGCCTCACCTGGGTTGTGCCCTGGCTGACCATGTTTGCGTCCAGCTCCCTCAGAGGCTCCCGTTCCCGCTGTGCTGCCCCAAGTGTCTCAGTAAAGAGAGGGAGAGTGCGCCCATCTGGAGGGACCATTGCAGCGATAGGCGCAGGCGGGAGAGGCTCCGCACTGGAGGCCTGCCACCCTGTGACGGGGATGAAGCGGGCAGGGAAGTCCACTCGGGGCTGATTGGGAAAAAGAAGGTCGTCTATTGTGGGGAGGCGTGCCCGGTGAATTCTAAGGTCTGGCTCAGAAGTGGGCAGGGGCTCAAGCGAAGCCCCCTCGGGGGCAGCTGGCTCTAGCCAGGCCTGCAGGCCCAGAGGTGGCGGGGGGTGCTGCTCAAGGGGCGCAGCTGCCTCTAAAGGGTCTGACAGCCGGCGCAGGGCATGCTGCTGAGTGAGGCTGCGCACCAGCTGGTCAAACTCAGTGGGATACAGCAACTCGTCAAAGCCACCGAAGGGGCTGCCACCGAAGTCTCCAAATGGAAAGAGAGGCCCAGCTGGCAGGGCGTCAAGGGCCGCATCGTGGAGCGGAGGGCTGGGAGAGAGGTCAGGCTCTTCAGCTGCTGCTTGCGCTGTGGCCCTGGGTGGTATGCGCGCCCGTTCAATGTCAGAGACAGGTGAAGGACCTCCCAACAGGAGCCCCCCCCGGCCTCCAGAATGTTGTGGGGGCAGCCGCACTGCAGGTCGCAGCTTGTGTCCTCTATCAGCCAGCTGTTGCGGTCTCTCCATGATCAGAGGCTGTCTGCTAGCCTGGAGAGGATCAGCCATCAGTCAAGCACTGCCAAGGAGGCACTGCATGATTGCGCCCAAAGAGCTGACGAAGTTTGGAACGATTCCTGCTTCCTAACGATCCACTTTACAGCAACAGAGATACTGTCTTTCTACCTGGTGGAAAGAGGGAAGAGTGCAGCCTATGTAGAAGCGACTAAGATCCCAAGTCAGAGGGCCCTGGAGAACGCGACACAGGGCAGTATTACTGCCCAGCCACTCACCTCAAGGGGCTTGCCCATTTGTGAAGGTGGGCCGTCCAAACCAGCCTCACTGGCAGAACGCTTGAGCCGTTGTGGTGCCAGGTTCTCTTTGCTCCCAGTCGGTGCTCCCCTGCCAACGGCTTGGGCAGCAGTGAGGGCATGTCTGGCTGCAGCGGCCATCTGAGTGGCTTGCATGTCTACGACCTGCATACATAGCCAAGTTTTTTTGTTTCAGCGTTCCACAACCTTGGCAGTCTCTAAGCTTAACCTCTTGATGAGGATGATCGAGCTTCTGTTATGCATGCCCGTGATGCTGAGCAGTCTATCACCAAACCTCTGGGCAATGCTGATCCAATATTGGGAATTGCACGGACACGTTGAATGGTCTACTCACTGTACTCACTCTTACCAGGGCAACTTTCCTCAATCCTGGTGCCCAAAGCGATAAGAAGACCAGCAATCTGCCCGAGATTTGCAGGACCAGATTGCCTTTTGCTATACATGTTCCGTTTAAGGAGCATTGCGCTTGAAACCTGCCCCCAGCCGTTTCCTAAGAGGACGCAGATCAGACAGACGTCAATTGTCACCTTAGATCCTGTGAAGCTCCTCTGAAGCACCGATTGAAGAATGTTTGTGCCCACCTCGGCACGTCTTGATGCAGCCTTCTTCGGATACTTGGCAAGCGGGCGCTGTGCCTCAAGTATTCTGAGCGTTCTCAAGTTTTCAGAGTGTCCAAACGCTGCAGTGATGGCCAGGAAGCGGACCCGATTGGGGACCTTCCGAGGATTGTTCTTACTGCCCTTCTTTAACGTCCATCTTTTAAGGTAGATACGACGTGGATACGACTAGCGACAGGAAAACAAGGAGCACTGAGGAAGAATTCTAATTGTGGATCAGTTGCAAGATACGAAGTGGGGACGAGGGGATCGTCCAAGCGGCGCGAACTTGGCAACACTCCTGAGGCTGCCGCTACATATCGGTAACCTTCCGCTCGGCTCTCCTGCGCTCAGAAACAAAGTCAGACTGTAGACACCACACTCTACGGTATTCAGACCGTATTCTCATTCCCAACCAAGTCGGGCGACGGGACCTAGCATGCCACTGAGATGAATTCAAAATTCTAGCTAGTACTGGCGCCAAAACGGACGGCTTTGCTCAACAAACCGATCACGTGCTTGTATCGTACGCCATGAGTACCTAGCTCTTGCAATTTAAACCTCGCATCCAGCCAGGAATCAACCCGGATTCGCACGGCCGGCCGCGAGGACCGGGCCGCGGGACGCGCCTCGCGGCTGTAGGCAGTCTCTATATAGGTTATATAGGTAACCATAACTATAATACCGTGGGTACTCTCGTCGTCCGAGTCTTCACTCCTTGTCTCAACGACAAAACCGGGCGCCGCTGTGCTAACTACCGTTTACTTTCCGAGAGTTTAAGCAGTCGAAGCCGCGTCCTCAATGCTCATAGGCTCATTGCTCCTCATCGCTTCGTGCTTGGGGCAGGACGACACCTTTACGAATATCATTACCTACTGCGACGCCGGATCGTCAATGAATGCTGCGGCAGAAAATTGCAGGCGATCGCCACCTAAGAGCAACAAAATATACTTGCAAAAGGACTACTGGGACAAGCGCTTTCAGGAGGAAGCAGAGTATGATTGGTTCAAAGGGTATGAAGAATTCCAAGAGCTTATGCACCAGCATGTAAAGCGCGAAGAGAAAATCTTGATTGTGGGCTGTGGAAATTCTGGTATGACAGAAGCAATGTACAGGGACAGATATTGCAACATTGTCAGTACGGACATCTCCGAGGTCGTTGTTGAGAGGATGCAGCAAAAAGCCGCCAGCAACGGGTGTGAAGGTGAGAAACAAAATTGTGAGTCCAGCCTGCCTTAGCAAAGATGTTGTGAGCCCTTTCTAGGTGGGCACTCAAATATCACACTCCAAGTTTTGTCGCTGCTCGCGGTGCCTACTTTGAGCACCTGGATATGATGGCAAAAGGCGCTCTGATCAGTGGGTGGTGCACCACCACCTGAAGGGCCCCTCCAAAAAATGAGGATGACAGCCACTTTCCCAAGTGCTAGCTGGCCGATGGCGCTGCGTGTCTCACCGGCGCTGTTTGGGTGGCAGGCATCAGGTGGCAGGTAGCGGACATGCTAAATCTTCCTTTCACCGACGGCCAGTTCGATGTGGTTATCGAGAAGGGGGCAATGGACGTTTTGTTCGTTGACAGTGATTCCCATTGGGACCCGTCAGAGCCGGTGGTGGCCCGCGTGCGCGCCATGTTGACGTCCGTGCACCGAGTCCTGGCCCCACATGGCCTCTTTGTCTCCATCACCTTTGGACAGGTGAGGAACGCGCCCGTGGGTGCTGCTCTGCAGCCGCCCAGCCTTGGTTGGCCCATGGCGCTGGCAGGTCCTGAAACCACTTCTCTTCCTAAGCAGAACTCGAAAACATGGTCCGTGGAATCAGGCCATAAGCACTTATACATGATGGCTTCCCTGCATGTTCATTTTTGTTTAAATGAAAGTTCCTCGCAGAAAGCCATCCCTGGATCTCCATCTTTTTTACCTTGCAAAAGACTCTCAGACTTGCTCTGCAGCCACACTTTCGGAGAAGGCTGTTTGAGAGCCCCGCCTACTCATGGGTGACTGCATACTCGACGTTTGGGGAAACATTTCATTACTTCTTCTACACGTTACGGAAGGTGCGGCTCTGCCCTCATAAGCCTTCGCTCCAACATAGAATAGAAGAGAGTGTGCGAGTGGATGCAAGTACTCGGTCGAAGTCTCAAGGTGTTGCGCCAAGGGCAACACAGTTATGGATCTTGCGACTCGTAAGTCTCATTCTTGAATGACACGCACACGTGCAAGGAGGTGCCCACTTTGCTACATTCTTGCTGCGGTGTGCTCACTTGCCGGTATTCAGTTGCAAAGGCTTAGGTTTGTGATGCAAGAGGAGTCTGTGTCGTTTGCATTTAGTAGAGCAATCCCCGTCCCTGTCCTTGCAAATCGGCCCATTGACACTCGACCCACCCCCTTCAATGCAGGGGACCCAGAAAGCAGGAACAACCGAAGGAGATTGTGAACCAAAACAAAGTTTTGAACCAAAGCTTGACATGATGCATGAGACTATGGACGACCCGGATTCACTTATGCTCATACAAGTCGATGATGAGGGAGATTAAAAAGTCTGAGCCCACGCGCTATGCGGGCGCCCACGAGCCGATTTGCGTCAGATTTAAGGTAACCGCTGAAAAGCTTGTGTCAAATCAGAGTTGAGGCACACATACAATGGTCAATGGTGAAGCCTGGCATGTAATTAGTCGTGACTCACGTGCTGATATAGTATGGATTTCCCGAAGTAATATTCTACCGGCTGATAATTCAAACCGAGGCCGTCGAGGCGGATGCCCATGCCAGTGCGTTTGTCGGTTGCATTCGTGCAGATCCGCACTCAGTGCTGTGCGAAGGCAAGGATTTTGAGTCCAACTTATCAGCTCGTTAATGTATCTGACATACATCATGGAAGGCTGCAACTTAAAGCTTACTTTATAACAATTGTCAATTATGGCCGCTATACTGTCACTAGGCGCGGCCAATATAATACTTGCAGCTAAATGGCCCCGCGCGCGACGGGCCTTAAGCCGGCATATATAGCAGTCCAGATGTTTTCGACAGCTGATCATTAGCCCGGTGTGAGGCTAGCGTGATGGTCGTGACAGGGTCGTGACCGGCCAATTTCAGCTCCTTGTTCTGATTCGAAGCATTTCAAAAAAATCCCGGATAAATGAATTAGCATCGCCCTATGGCCCTGGCACAATCGAGGTGGCCTGGACTCATTGGGTCGCTGGCCGGCCGTTCCGGACCTGAGATGACATGCACGTTTCCCGACCTGACCCGGCGACTGGACACCCTAGCTGCATAGTCCCTACTATGTTTCTCTCAGGCGTGCTTGCTACTTTTACAAAGCGGTTCTAGCATACATCATTTACAGCGCTGCCATAAACACGCTCGTTTTCGCCCCTGTCTGCAAAGACCCTCATTTAGGAGTCAGTCTCGCCCCGCTGCGACCATTTTCTAGGACCCACTACGGGCAGTCCCCATTGGCGCATCAGCCGGCCTCCCCCGGTTTTTGAGCTTGCTCAGGTCGAGTACCTGGCGGGGGTCGCCGAACTGCGACCGGTTGCCCAGCGTCTGGCCCAGCTCCTGCAGGTACTGCCCGTACTGCATCTGCTCCGCCTCCCACCGCTTCAGCACGGACGGCACCTCGGAGGGGGCCACCGACGCCATGGCCTCTCCCAGCCCCAGCGCATTGGCACTGCGACACGGACAGAGGGTCAAGGAAGCTATTTTGGGTCAAGGAAATTACTTTGGACTAAGTCAAAACCTTCAAAAACGCCTTCAGACTGCTGCACCTTGGGCAAATCTGCCGGTTAGAATGACCGCCCTTGAGATCGGGCCTGGCTATCAGGTCCGAAAGAAACCGTACATGGAAGTCAATCGTGTGTGTTCCTTGCATAAGATGGAGGCGCAATAATCTTGTCAAGTAGACTACAGATTGCCCCGCACGCATCTTTGTGTAATGGACACGGCTGCACGGTGGAGCACGCGCGCACAGGCCATGCTCCAGACGCGACTCACAAAGCTTGGTCCGCCGAGGCTGCAGTGTGGGGCCGCGGAATGAAAGCTGCCTCTCCGATAAGTGCAACGCGGCCGTGCGCCATGGCTGGTACCGCGAGATCATTGATGGTCTGCACGAACGGCTGCCGCGTCAGGGCCACCAGCTGCGCAAACTGGGGTGGCAAATGTGCTCGCGCGCGCTCCTTCTGCTGCTCCCACACCTGGGGCCGCAGCCTGTCGCCGGGGAGCGCGTCCGCGTGGCGCTGCCCGCCCGCATCCGTCAGCACGGGCGCCAGCTCGGCGTCGGTTGGGTAGTTCCAATACCTGCGCAGCCACGTGGGCGGAAGGCTGGAAACGAGGAAGCCCTTTCCTGGTCAACCCACTAAAGGAGGCGAAGCTACGCGGCCTACCTGCACCTTCAAACTGATTGCCCGGCCAGACTGCCTCTGTTGTATACACACGGATTCCTTGCAGTTCAATTCCGTTCGATTCAGGATTCTGCATATCATGGGCGAGAAAACCCAGGACTCTCGAATTGACTGGATGGACGGCTTTGAGATCAAAAGAGAAGCAGACGACATAACCGCCTCCCTCGAGCACAGTCCTGGAGTCGGGCAGATGATAGATCGTTCATGGGTCAACAGACCTGGCCAGGCCTGCACAACTTGAGCAGGGCACGCTCCGCTCACCAGACCCAGTTCATGTCGCGCTCTCCCGGCGCGAGGCTGCCCCCCGGCCCCGGGATAAGGTAGCTCAGGATCTGCGTGCCAGGCCCGTGGAAGAACGTGAAGCGGCCCATAAGCGTGGCCGCCACGTTGGCAGGCAGCTCCCGCTCGGGCACCACCTGGACACAGCCGCCGCACGCGGAGGTCAGGCCGGCCGCCACAGCCATGAGGTATAATTCCTAGTCTAAATGGGCGGAGAACGCGGGACCATAAGGGCGGCGAGTTCCAGTGGGCTCGCCAGGGGCATCAAATCCAGTAATCATTAAATCTGCTTCCTCCGAGATGCCACTTGTCTGGATTTTCGCTCATTGAGCTGCCTTTACAAGCTTGATCATATCTTACAAGATGCGACGTTCTATTTTTGGAACCGACGGAAGACGTCTTTTGTTGCACGGACCTCGAACATGATCGAAACATGACAACAGCAGACATGTGAGCATTTTTTATTTTCTATCGATCCATCGAAAACGGCTTAGAGTGCGTGTCAGCCACAGGGTGTCGACTCTTCTGCAGAATGTTCCTTTGAAGAAAGAAGCGGCACAGATTCACACAGAAAAGCCAACGGGTGCCAGCTTTCGTAGAAATTCACTTGCTGAAAAGATCGCAGCGCCTTAGGAAAAAAGGGAATTGAAAGAAAGAGCAAGGAGAAAGTCACATCAAACTTGAGGGCCGACCATCCCCAGTCACAACCACGACTGTTAAATTCTCTTGGCAAGAATCTACAGCAGAGGTCTCGAGCACTTCACTACCTACCCAGAGTATCACGAGACAACGTCCACTCTCATCTTTACTGACATGACAGCAATAATGAGCCCAAAGAAATAAGACGGTCCAATCATCCGAAGTGCAAGCTCACGGGTCTGAAACCAGAAAGATGGCTGCCCCCTGCTTCGCCGTTTTTAGAAGGAGACCAGCACTGTGTTGACTCCTCCATGAATCGAACTAGATCTCCTGCCTCCTAGCCAGCGCGTGCGCTCACCCCTCTCCACGCAACATAACCCGCGTAGCGCTTCTCCACGTCTGGCAGCAGCTGGTGGCGCACCACAGAGCGTGGACCGTCCGCGGCCACAAACAGGTCAGCCGGCACGCTCGCCCCACCTTCTAATTGCACCTCGACCTGGTTTTTGTCCTCAGAGAATCCGGAGACAGGGCTGCCGCTGTGGTACCTGGCTGGGAAGGAGGGGGCAACCTTGATGAGGCTGGCAAGGTGGACCAAGCCTTGCGAAAGCAAGAGTCTTCACGGTTGAAATGAGGCCTCTTTGTAGGGAGAATTTTGGAACTGCTACACTGCTTGGATACTTCCGGAAAATAGTAATTGAGAAGAAGAGTTCGGTCATTCATGTATCACAGCTAAAACAAGGACCTGAGTAAGGACTCACTTATGGTTTGCAGAGAACAGAGTCATTAGAGGTCCATGACGTGGAAAAGTGAACCATTGGAGGCGCGTACCTGTCGACGGGAAAGGCGTCCTTGAGTGCCTTGTAGAGCACGGACCAGGAGGTCATGCGTTGCGTGTAGTCCTCCTTGCGCGTGACACCCCCCTCGCGGTCCAGGTACTGCCGCCGCTCACAGCGCACACTCATGGCGTCCGGGGGCGCCAGGTCCATGACACGGAAGAAGTCGAGCACGTGTCGCTGGAGCACGATGCCTGCAAGGAGGCAGAGAAGCAGGAGCAACAGCGTCAGTGGACTGGAAGTGAGACTGGCTCTACTTGAACGTTTGAGTAGGTGGCGGGTTGTACATGGGAGACAGCCTGGTACCCTGGCAGAGCCCAGCGTGTAAGGAAGTTCACAAACATCCAGAAGGGGCTCCTGGCAAGCTACCCTATTGGAGCAGACAGAGAGAATCTAGAAACGAAGGCTGGGCGAGGCCAGGGCATGCGGAGCATCAAAGCGCATGCATTCGTGGTGGCTTGCATGGCTTCGCAACAGCGGTGGTTGGTTTCATAGAACTGTGATCTAAGATCTCATACGTGCACTACAAATGAATTTGTGCCCCTAAACAGTGACTGGTGGCCTGAAAGCTGGCTGGCCCGCTCGAAAGGCCAATGCAAACACAATTTGCTGATTCCTACGTTTTGGCGCCACTTGTCAGCGTTGCTGCCCTACTCAGCCTCAGGACCAGCAATGGTGCCAGCTCGCTGCCGATGCCCTGGCAATTCCGAAGGCTGCGGCCACTGGGTGATATATACCACTGCATCACTAAACACGCGAGGCCGGTGCAGGAGGCTGACCTGCCCCCCGGTGGCTGCGGTCCTGCGTGGGAGAGCGCTCATACAGCTGCACGTTGTGGCCCGCGCGCAGCAGCAAGAGAGCCGCCGACAGGCCCGCCAGGCTGCCCCCCCCAACCACCACGTCCAGGGAGCTGGCGGCTGCATGCCGCGCCATGCAGGGGTTGGAAGGAGCTACTGGTACGGGGCTTGGATAGGTGTGGTGAAGGTGGTCTTCAAGCGCCACCTTCCCACTTCGTGGTGCACAGCGCTGGCGAGCGCTGGCTGGCTACCTGGCTGGCTACCTGGCTGGCTGGCTGGCTGGTAATTGAAGCTCCAATTTCAAAGCTCTCAAGTGCACTGCTTTGCCACAATGCTGGCACTGTGGAAGATTCATGCAAAAAGTCAGACAGGCACGGTGCATCAAATTCAATGCCATCATGCAAGCTCGAATACATGTCCTCTTTTGACACAAGACGAGTGTTGCTGCAGCCTCGACTGCAGAATCGAAGTCCAACACCTGGTCGACTCTCCAGCATCTGAGCCGCCTTCTCGACAGTTGCCGGAAGCATATGTATGTCTGTGTCAAGCCAGATTTGTTGGAATTTGCAATAATAATCAAATGCCAATGCCAATTGTCAAGCAATGGTGGCAATGACTGCATTGTATCGATGACAATGTGGCACTAAAGCGGAAACTCTGTGTGCTTGTCCTTGAAGTTGTCGACGGTGTGGGCAGCCTGCTGAAGCAGATTGGTCTGACGCGGTAGGAGAAGGTGTGCACTGGCGAGGTGGTAGGTACGATGAAGGCCGCGGGGATCCCGGCCAAGAGCACGTTCTCCTTTCGCGCTGATGTGGGCAGGCAGCAGGAGATCTCACAAGTGATGAGTCCTTTCACAGCCATTCTAGAGATTCGTATGCTGAAGATCAGTCGTTCCCTGCTTAATATAGCAACACCACACATGTCTCAGGCGCATGCCCTTAGAACAGTTTTCTCCCAAACGATAAGAGCAAGAGCCGCAGTGAGTAACGCGGCAACGCAGAGAGAGCGGTCCACACACAGATTGAGTGGTACCGATGCCGATGTTGGCTCCACAATCATTGAGGACGCCTCACGACAGCAGTCGAGTAAGCTGGCCCCTCTTACGTTCTCCGGGGATTGCGTCCATCTTGCCTAACTTGTGACCCTTTTTATGAGCGGTTGTCGGGAATATCATCGCTCAACTAGATGTGCACCTGTATCACAACGATGTTCTACTGTGCTCTCCAAAGTCCGTCAAGAGTTCTCCTCTGGCCTGTCTCAGCTGACACTTTCCCTGCAGCGCCGAGGGTGGTTCTCAAGGGCGGCAAGTCCCGGCTCTTTAAGGCGGGCGCACCCCATGTGTACGGTGGCGCTGTCGATTCGGTGGTGGGCCGTCCCCCCCCGGCAGCTGGCGATGTGGTGGTGGTGACAGACGGACAGAAGCGAGCGTTTGGCTGGGGAGTCTACAACCCCGCGTCCATGTTTCGGGTCCGCCTGATGCAGACAGACTTGGACGTAGACAGGTGGGCTGGCTTCCATTGGCAGAGGATGCCTGGCCGGCGCTGGGGGGAGACTGGGGTGGCAAGCGACAGGAGACCACCCCTTTGCGTTTCGGCTCACCTTCAGTCCATGTGGTGGCTTGCCCTTCCTGCTGTTCCTGTGATGAGAGCACGTGCCTCGTACAATGAATGTGACTGCGCTCTACTCCGAGCGAGAGCCTCTTTACATGACCCCTGCTTCATCCCCCCCATGGTCTGCTCCTTCTTACAGGGAGCCCGGCTGCCTGCTGGACCTGCCGGCCCTCATCCGCGCGCGTGTGCAGCAGGCGGTGGCCCTGCGCCGCACGCTGGGCCTGCCCTCAGCGCAGACCAGCGTGTATCGCCTGATCAACAGCGAGGGGGACAGGTGCGGCCTCCAAGCAGCCTCGTGCCACCAAGGGACGACTTGGGGGCAACAGCTGCAGGACGCAATTGCACTGACGCCTTTTTCCTTGTGCTGAGATGAGTCCATCGATTGCTTCAGCGAATTCGCGAGCTTGTGGTGTCCCCCACCCCTGCGGTGTGCTGACGGGCTGGGCCTGGCTGCAGGGCAGGCTGTCCGGCCTGATTGCGGACGTTCTGGGTGACCACGTGGTGGTCCTCTCCTGCGCGGCCTGGGTGGAGCGGCATGCCCCCGTCGTGCGCGCCGCCATCCAGGAGGCCACCGGCCTGCGCAGCATCGTGTGGCGGCCCTCGCTGGACATCCTGCGCGAGGAAGGCCTGGAACTGCCCGCGGGCGGAACACCTACGCAGGAGCCCAGCACCCCCGCAGATGGAGCCGTTCAGGTGCGTCTGGCGTGTGGCTCGCTGTGCTGGCTGTTCGCGAGAGCCCCTGTGCGAGTGTGCTTGGATGCATGGCAATCCAAACACCGCATACAGAGCTTGCCGCGGCGAGGCTTGCGCTGACGACGCAGGCAACCAGGGTTCTGTCCAGATGCCACAATGGGTTCGGTTTGCGGGTGGTGCAGGTGGTGGAGAACGGCGTCCACTTCCGCGCCGCGCTGCATGGTCAAAAGACTGGCTTCTATGCGGACCAGCGCGACAACCGTGCGTACCTGAGGACGATAGCAGGGGGAAAGACGGTGCTCGACCTGTGTTCCTACAGCGGGGGGTTTGCAATCAACGCAGCGCTGGGGGGAGCAACGCACGTCACAGGTAACTCTACTGGCAACACGATATGGCCTGACATCAAGGCCATTATTAGCTGGATACTGTCTATGCGATTGAACGAAAAGGAAACGGTCTGGACTGGGGTTTGACTCAAACCCAATATGTACGCGTTCAAGAGAGATGTTCGATCGAGTGTATTGCCGCGAGCGGTGACAGTCAACGTTTATCATTCGTGAATCAATATGTAGAGATCCAGTGGATCGGTCACTCTGCCGATCCAGTCTGTCGTTTGCTGCCAATTGGAGGCCCGCTCCTTGTTCTCCTGCCCGCCTGCGCTCCAAGCCCGCCCGTCGAAGCCCGCTTTCCTCCGCTGTGTGCAGCGGTGGACTCGTCGGCGTCTGCGCTCGTGCTGGCGGAGGCCAACGCTGCATTCAACGGGGTGCTCCCCTCGTCCATCACGCTCGTCAAAGACGACGTGGCGGCCTTCATGGCGGCCGCGCTGGCGGCGGGGCGGCAGTGGGACCTGGTGGTGCTGGACCCGCCCAAGCTGGCCCCCAGCAAGAAGGTGCTCGACCGCGCGGCCGCCAAGTACCGCCGCCTCAACGCGCTGGCCATGCAGCTGACGGCGGCGGGGGGCCTGCTCATGACGTGCTCCTGCTCGGGGGCCATGACGCAGAGCGGCGCCTTCCCCACCGTCCTCCAGGTGACTGCCCCCGCGCGCCACACACGCCGTACGCATGGGCAGTCACATCAGAAGCTGATCACTTTCATCTGAGCAGCCATGAGAGGAGTTTTCTCAACTGGCGCTGGCAGCGGATCCCAGGAAAGGGCAATGTCTGCCGCAGAGTCGAAGCCCGTTCTTATTGACCCCTGCAAATGATGGGGAACTTTCGTGACCGAGTATTGCCAAAACTCACATTGCTTTGAGCTCAGGAGGGAAGCCAGTCTTACATGCACTCCCGATCCGGGATGGCTCAAACTGTGCTACGCCGCACGGGCGGGCACCCTTTCCCTGTTCCGGAGCTGTTTCGGAGCATACCAATATGCTTGCTTACGATCCGAACCGCTTGTGCAGGATGCCAGCACTCTGGCCCGTCGACCAATTCGAATACTGCGGCACTCAGGGGCCGGCCCCGACCATACTCTTATTCCCGGATATCCGGAAGGGGCCTACCTCACGAACATGCTGCTGCACGTACACTGAACGGTCGGAGGGCATCTCGATGTACTGCGAAATTGACCAGGTCGCGGCTGTTCAAATGCCAGAGAAGGTTGCGCTAACGCTTGATGAGCCAGTCGGCACGCTAGACTTCGTTGGTACCAATCGTTTACGATGCCATTCGGGTAGACGCCGCAACTTTAGTTTTCCCTTTTTTGACCATATGGCGGAGCCATTAGGAAGGTGGCTGCTGATCAGATTGGTTGGTTGCATGCCGAAAGGGAACTTAGTACGGAAAGGGAACCCGCTCTTACATTCTAGCCTGATACATGATTCAGCAACCAAGCAAATTTTTAAGACATTTGCTCGCTTTATATTAGTTGAGAGTCAACGTCAAGAGAACGTACAAGATTAGCTTATCTAGTAGACTGGGCTTTGCAGTTCGCATCCGGACAGGAACTTTGTGACTTGAAGTTAGTCACTGCCCTTAAAGATGATTAGGCTTTGGTTCAGTTTAGCCAGCACTCCAAAGAACCTTCATATCTATATTGAGAAGAGTTACATGCACTTGCCAAAAAGTCCGTTGAAGTACAGCCCGCGGACCTAGGCCTGATGCGGATTCTCTTGTTAGAATTTGCTTCCTCAATTGGTCGCGGTCATCAGTGTGCAATTGTCGAAGTCAAAGTCATCTAGCTGGTGCCCATGTTTAATGCGTAGTATATACTTCCATGTATATATGATGATTCAGCATGCATGGCACACAAGCTACCTATGGTGGGTCTCGACGGTATCGACCGCGCGACGGTCGGGTCTCAAATTTGTATGACCGGTGTCACGCGTCGCGACACATTTTGTACGCAGTACTAACGATCGTACTCGGCCGTACTAGAGAATCGGGTCCGAATTCATGAATCGAGCTTTTCCTGACACGTCGATCAAACGGGCAATTACGTACTACCCGGAGGTACGGTACCGTCGCGCGAGACTCGAGTCTGCGCGGCCGACAAATTTAAATTTCATGGTCTTGGTCGGAACTTCCGACTTGTACCGTGCACGAGTACCGCGGTACCCAGACTGAAAGAAGAGTGCAGAGATTTGATATAGGAGTGTAAGAGAAGGCGCTCTTCAAAATCCAACAATGGCGGCCAACTTTGCGCCTCCTATGCTGCTATTTGAGATTTGTCCTGAACAAAACATGATGTTGGAGCTTCAAAGGACAGCTAATGACGGTCCCCCAACATTTTTTTTAGCTTGTCAAAGGTTTCTGCATGTTGCATAAGCCGCATCTTAGTGTGGCATTTTCATGCTCCCGTCAAAGTGTAAAATAATACACTTGTTTACAACTTCATGACACTCACTTACGGCCGAGCAAAAATTCCTGAGTACTCGAACCGTACATGTTTCGGAAGTCCGACTCAGCGTAACGTGAACCGCCGGTATCACTGACAGAATTTGATACCGGGTCCCACAATTTCGTTGCGGTTCGAGTCGGAGTCGACTCGGCCGGAACCCACCGTAGGTAGCTTGTGCATGCGCGGCCATGCCGCCGCAGAAGATCCTTAATCCAAGCGCATATGTACTTAATCCATGGCCATATTGGGGCCGCAACCGCCCGCACTGCGCAAGTGGCTGGGCAATTATATGTTGGGCGGCCTCGGAGCTCTAGGACGTCAATGTACGTACGTCCTCATAAGGCGAGTTGTCAGGCGCTGGCATAGGCAGCAGTTCCCGCACGCGTATATTTCCATGCAGCTCGATCTAGAGCTAGGTACGATGGTCGCCTAAATTGGCAGATTGATAACTGCATGATTCGAGATTAAAATCTAAATATCCCCAGAAGTTATCACAACTATCATGACGTAGCTTCGGACCAGGCTAATCGAGATGAGGTGAAGAGCAAGCAAGTAATGTGCGCCTCATACATCCCATCCTAACCAGCCAACAAAAGCAACTGTTAGCCTAGGTCGAAAAGCGCTTGCCCCAGGAAGTCAATGTAGTCAATCAAGCCGGCCAATGCGTGTTTTGTACTGGACAGTAGATCAACAGTACAATCTCCCCAAATAATGGTTGATGCTCACGAAGCATTCTGCCAGCTCGATCTCGCAAACGGTGACTTTCCAAAACAGCTACTCAAGGCAGCCGCTGCTGCCTTGTTAGCCTGCGACAAATCTGCTGCGCGTTTGCCTGGTTGTGCCTGACTCTTCTGAAGCTTGCTCCGGCCGTCGCTTCTGGGCTTTGCTCTTGCTTTCCTTTTTGGCGCCCGTTCCTCTGCCTGGTCCTGCTCATCTGGAGCTCGGACTTGGGCGTCCCCGTCGCTCGAAGGGGAGGCACCCCGCGACGTTGGCGGGGCGGGGGTGGTGGACTCGGGGCCACCTTCCTGGGCGGACAGCAGTTCCTCCTGCATCCCACCACCCAGCTCAGCGCACGGCCTCAGCTTAGACAAACCCATAATGCCGACCAGATCGTCCGCAAACATCTCTGAAGCCTTTTTGCAAACGAAGCAAGCTCGTTCAATCAAATCTAAAGCTTGCAAAGATGCAGCCCATACGCAGGGTGAAACGCGCACATCATAATAATGACAATAATCACGGCAGCCAAGCTCCCCTGATGCTGCAGCACTTGCCTGCGTCAACTGTCCCGGCAGAGAGGGGAACAGCGCCATGAACGGCTTGCTGGCCAGTGCAGCTGCCCCTGTGCCCGCGGCCTCTTGTGTACGCGGCTGCTCGCTGAGCACGGCCTTGCTCAGCTGGAACTGGGAGCCCGCACCGGTGGACGGCGACCGGCGACGCGGCCGAGAGCCCTCTGCGCTTGGTCCCTGAGCCGCACCCTCGCCACACGGTTGCCCTCCGGGAGCAGTGCTCTCGGCTCCCTTGGCTCGTGCCGTCCCTGAACTCGGGCGGGGCTGCGGGCTGCTGGGACGGACGTTGCAGCCGCCTGGCTCAGCTTCTGCATCCTCCACCCCAGTCTCACTGCTTGTTGCCCTCTTCCCCTTAGCTGGAGACACCAGGTCCCCGGAGCTCCTGGACCGCCCCAGGCCGCTGCTGCTAGCCCGCCGGGCGGACCCTTGCCGGCCCAGGCTCTTGCTCACCTCGCGCGTGGCGGGCAGGAACCCGTCGTTGCTGCTCTCAAGTGACCGCAGCAGCAACGAGTCCCCAAACGGGATCTCGAGCGAAGCCGGCGCGCGCAGGAGGAAATCATCCTGGCTAGGC